TCTGCTGCCTACTTACAAACAAACCTTGTATATATTATCGTTTATGCAATTAACCAAAGATTGTTCACATCACATTATTATAACAATTTTGTTGATTTAATAATAATTTAAACTATATGAAGGACACTGCGTACTGTGTACACATGTCTGTACATATAGTAAAAATATATTTATTTGAAGGTCGAAACTTGTTTCAAAACATTATCAGTGTCAGTATTATCATTAGGTACTGAATAACATGATTTACCTACAGCACAGCAAATTCTTTAAACATAAATATGCCGATAAAAGGTTTTTTTTTTGTTTTAATCGGAACTATGGGTCTTCCTATCACTTGCAAAACTGCCAATGTGTCAATGTAATTGTAATTACTAATTAGAGGCCATCCATTAATTATGTCACACAAACTTTATTATATTTTAACACACCCCGTCCTTGTTACATTTGTGAAACCCCCCAGTGACGTCACATATTTTTAAATTTTATATCCAGAAATAATTAAATTCAAAAACCACTTTTATTTTTTTTTATTTTCATTGAAAATAATCCCAATTAAAATGAACATAAAGTCAAATATCTATATATATATACAGTTTTAGTTACACTATTAATAATTCAAAAACGGCTCAACCGATTTGGCTGAAAATTGGTGGGGAGGTAGCTTAGAACGAGACAGACAAAGGATACTTTTTATCCCGTTCCCGTGGAAAAAAAAGTGCTATAAGAAAACGCAACTGCATGGAATGACAAAACGCAACTGACAGCAAAACGAAAAATTTCAGTCAAAACATCAGTCTAGCAGTTCATTTGTTAAAAATGGTATAACAAAACGCAACCGACACGGAATAACAAAACGCAACTGATAGCTCAACGAAATGTTGTCTACGGTTAAGTATGGTGTTTTATTTACAGTCACATTTACCTGAAAAAACTTGGCTTTAATGCTTTTTCATATAAAGTTAGTGACATACATCTCTATTTCAACATTTTACAAAATTCTACCCCTTCAGGATGCTAAAAGGGGTTTGCAAAGATTGCATGTTTGTTTTTGGTCCGATTTACTTGAAACTGGTTAAAAAATTCAATCTCTGTTGGGAGGGGGATGAAGAGGAGTTGCAATGTTTAAATGAAACATATATTATTTGTGGTCACATTTACTTGGTCTTAATGGTCTCTCATTTAATTTCTGAAAGACCTATCTCGACATTTTAAAAAATTCAACCTCCAAAGGGGGGGGGGGTAAAAAGGTGTTGCAATTTTTGTTTGGGACATACTTTATTTGTGGTTGAATTTACTTGAAACTTGGTATATATGCTGTTTGATATTATTAATCAAATGAAAAGAGGTTGCAACGTTTCCATGGGGTATATTTTATTTGTACTCGGATTTACTCGAAGGTTGCTCATTGTTGAAATTAAGCAAATACGTGTTTTGGCAATTTTTAAAAATCAACCCTTATGGTTGAAATGTTGTTGCTACGTTTGTATTTGAAATCTAAGATGGCGACATTACATAAAATTAAAACGTTGTAAGGGTGAATTGGGAGTTAAAAGGTTTTATGGAGAAACAATATTAATTTCAGTGAGCAAAGCCGCGCGGAAAAGTTAGTTTTAGATAATTAACAAAACAAAATACTAATTAAAGGAACGATAAACAACTAATTATGTTAATAAAAGATACAAAATTTTACACATATGACGTCATAAACCTTTTGACCTACCCCTGCTCCTTGTCACACAATGTCACATTTGTTGACTCCCTCCCCTCTCCTTAATGTGTGACGTAATTTATGGATGGTCCCCTTTACTTTCTGGTGATAGTAACATTAGGACTCATTTGAAAATAATATAATGTCAAATGTTGTTTTAGGTTAAAAGATCAACGTCAAATTAGAATTGGTTACTTTTATTATTGTCAATAAAACCCTTTCGATACTGTTTTGATATAAAACAAAAACCGCAATAAATTTTTCGTTTCATCGGATGGTATGAGTACTTAATACTATGTAATAAGACTAATCGTAAAGGTAAACGAATATATGTGCATATATACTTATGTACATAGGAATCGGAAAAAAATAAAACGTGTATGCAATCCTATGACAAGACGACCGGTATTTAAAAATTCGCTACAGCTCCAAGAATCAGAACGAAAATCTGTCCGCTGCGAACTAAACGTGACGATCTACTGATGCTGAAGTTGTATAATACCTAATACCCGTTGGAATTATTCCGATGGGTTTAGTACACGTAGTCTCTTTATCAGGAAGTCTGTCCTATACTTCTTATATTTGTATTTATGTGATTTGTCGTTCCCAGTCGCGTAAAGGAATTAAAACACAAGTTTCACAATGTTCATTTATTTTTCTGACGATCGAGTCGATGTTTAAATCATTTACAAGTAAATTTTTGTATACTCTTTGAATATGGTTTAACTTTTATAAAAATGTTTCACCAAGTGCCAAGCGAGTCTACAATTTCAAATATTTTAACATTTCTTAGTTTTCCAAATAGGTATTGTAGCGAGCACGAGTGTGTCTGTATGCGATGGGGCACACAACTTATCGGTTCGCTGACTAGCCGCGGGCGCCTTTCTTCATATACGCCGTATTTGTACCCGCGTTCTGGGAAAGCAGTTAAACAGTTCAAAGAAAAAGTAAACTATCCGGATGTTTCCAGAAGGCTCCCGAAAGTAAACAAAAGAGTATTTAAAGGAAGAGACGATCGCCGGGTAGTAGTAGAAATAAACTGACAACTGCAGAAGTGAATCGAGAAATAAATTGACAGTGATAGCAGTGAAATAAATAGCTCAGTGAATAGTGATATATCAGCAGTCGTGTAAATAAATAGAGTAATTCATCACCCAATTTAATAGTGTTTAAGTTCCTTAATAATTAGTGTAAATAAATAGTTTTGTCGTTAGCAGTCTTAAAAGTTAATTTTGTTAAACCCACGAACATTATAGTATTGACCTCCACAACATACTAAAAATTCAAGGTCATCGTGTTTGGTGAAACAAAGATAACCTCATCACATTACTGATTATTCTAACATCTAACATTATCAGCCACCTCCGGCGGGCAAGGGCATTACAGAAACTCTAGTCTGCAATAAATCTCCTTAACCAAACAATGACGTTACCAATGGATCTTAGGTACATCTCCAAACAGCTTGCCGTAATTTGGCCTAGTTAGTATTACCTGTAATTCATTTCCGATTGCTATTTAGGAAATATGTCTAATATAATTTATTTCACACATTTCCGAGCGATTTTAGGAATTATATAGATACATTTCCTAGGAATTGTATACAATGACGGATTTCATAGATTTCCGGTAACATAAACACTAAAAGTCTTTAAGATGGCAAAACGATACTAATAAATTATCGTAAATTAAAATCTGATATACGTATCAACAAGCGACCGAAATTGTAACAGTTTTGTCATATATACTCATGTATTCTTGTTCACGAGAAGAAACACGAATTACACATTAATGACATGTTCTTTTCATTATTTCAGCCATTCTGTGTGATATTGTAGTCTTTTTTTCACTCAAATTTTCAATGATATCAACTTCACTTTTGTTTAACTTTTTCCTCGTGGCATTTTTAATGGAACACAAAAAACTGTAGCAAAATAAGTTAATTATTAATTCTCAAAAAGAAACTAGAAGGGCAACCGTCCCAACTCGCGTTTTAAATTACCAATGAAGAAGTCAGCGTCCTATACTTTTGTCGCAGCATCAAACTGGTATCTTAAAATATTTTCCTAAAATAAAATGAGTCATAAATATTCGGTCATACAATAATAACTTCAGTCAGTAGAATTAAGAAACAATCATGGTGTTCTATAGTTTTGTCACGGGGGGTATATCGAAATAATAAATAATTTAGTGTAGTAAAGCGTAGGACAAACGACCTATCCTAATACAATCTTAATTACCGATTTTCATTTCGTAGGTATTTTATTATACTTGTTAAATTATTAGTGCTGATGCTTGACGGATACTCGGCGTCATTATCAGTACCCAATGATACCTATAATATTATTATACTTATACTATAATTTCCAGTTTAATGTACCAACACATACATAAATTACTTACCTAAACTTTAACCTAACCTAACATAAATTTTCGATAGACATAACCAAATTGTACAATACCTTTTCTTTTTAATTAATTTCAATGAAAATTTAAGGTGTTTTCTATTTTTCTCCAATTTTTAGTAATAATTGTCTTATTGCAATCACTGCCAATTTGTTTTCCTTTTTCAACTCCGATTGAATTAGCGGCACTACCGGATTCAAACTAGGAATATATCCGTCTGATGAAACCAAACTCCGGCGAAACATTTTTTATGGTTTTTGTTTTATAACAAAACTATAAAAAGTTTTATTGTTGTTTATTATTTATTATGGATTTTCGTTAAGTAATCTTGAAGTTAATCAATTGATTATATTATTTACTAACATATGACTTTTGAGTTTAAACTATAAACATCTTATCCCCGTTATAAATTTCATGTCCTAAAATACGTAGGAAGTAGAGTACCTACTTCAGAGGTTTATTTCTTTCTTTTAGATTGATTACTTTTTATTTAAAAACCAAATTATTTATAAACAAACATACGATAAGAAACTGTGACGAATTCAAACCTAACTGTTCCACTTATCACCTACTTACTCAAATACTCGAATTCGATTTGTTTCAGTTAATATCTGGAAATTTTTTGGTTGCTTTTATCCTTTTGAGTCATTGAAATTACGACAATAGATAAAAAGAATCTTAATTTTGTGTACACAAAAACCTTAGGTTTCTGCAGTTTTTTTAGGCACACATGTTTGGTTTCTAACGAGTCATGAAATCTTTAAACTGTTTTCAACAAAAAACCAAACGATACTTTTATGTATATGTCCGTATACTGGTTACTAACTTATTGTTTATTATTGGTATATATAATAAAGAAATAGGGTAATAGAATGAAAAAGGTACATACTTGATAACTGGTTTATATTGTCTGCACTACCAAACTTATTCTTTATTAGATGAGCAAATTCTCTTGGCTTTGACATAACGGTCCCACTGAATCCAGTTATTCCATCTCTTATATTTCCTCCGACATTCCTGGAAAGAACATAAACTTTTTAATTATTATACAGAGCATTATAAACGGGCATCAGAAAGTGACAAACCACTAATATGGGACCATCCTCTTTTTAAGAGAGAAAAGTGGCTAGTTGACCTATAGACAGGGTGACTCAAAAAGTACGCTATCATCATCATCATCATCATAAAGTCGTTAGTCCTAAGACTGGTAGAACACGTATTTCCACTCTTTCATATCCTGCGCTAATCTTCGCATTTCCCTAAAGCTAGAGCAACCCATATCATTAACTATTTGCGAACAGTAATCTAATCCAGGTCTACCTATATCCCTCCTAACTTCCGTTTCAGCCTCTAATATGTCTCTGACTAGACCTTCATGCCTGAGAAGGTGTCCTACTAACCTATCTGGCCTATTTCTTATTGACTTCCTCTGTTCTCCTATTCTTTCTAATACCTCTTCATTTCTAACCATCTCTATCCACTGTATCCTCATCATTCGCCTGTAACACCACATTTCGTATGTTTCTAACCTTTTCTTTTCCGCCGCACCCACTGTCCATGTTTCGCACCCGTACAGCGCCGTTCGCGAGCATAGAAGTGACTTCTTTTTAATGAAGTCGGCTCGACCCTGCGCTATCCTCTGATTTATATCCCTACTACTCCTTCCGTTCTGACTTATCTGACTTTAGATACCTAAAATCAACCACTTCTTCTAATTTTTCGTCTCCTATCTTTATATTCGCTCTTTTCTATCAGTATTTTTGTTTTATTTATTTTCATATAGTACTGTTTTGTCAATACCGCTTATATTTTATTCAAAGCTATCTCTAACTCTTCTTTGCCAGATGCTAATACTACTATATCATCTGCAAATTCAAGCACACTAATCTTTCGCCCCTGTATATCTATACCTACAGTTGTACTGTCTTTAATGATGTTGATCGCGTAAAAAGTAGAGGTGACAGTGTGAATCCCTGTCTGACTCCTTTCCTAATATTTACTTCTCTACGTTGCAGTCCCATTTCTATAACTGCCTGTTGCTCTTTATACAAACTAAGTATCACTCTTCTATCTTTGTAACTCATCATTACATTTTTAAGTATATTCAACATTTTGTCCAATTTAACATTGTCAAAAGCTTTTTCTAAATCTACAAATCCTATGTACGCCTTCTTTCCTTTTTCCATCGTTTTCTCTATTGTTATCCGTAAAGCTAGAATTGCCTCTCGCGTCCCTCTATTTCTTCTATACTCAAATTGATCTTCCCCTGATAGTTCTCCCGCCCTTTTTTCCATCCTTCTCTGTACAATTCTAGTTAAGATTTTAAACGCATGAGAAGTTAACCTAATTGTTCTAAATGTCTGGCACCGATCCGCGCCTCTCTTTTTAGGTATGGTATATTAATGCCAATACTTTAAAGGAAGTTTTTACATTTAGTAGCGAGTAATATTTTAAAATTATTAATTATTAATGTGAAATTAACGAAGGTGTGACACTAGCAACAAACTGTTTCCTCATTAATTTGAGGTAATCTATAGTGAGAAGAAATTAAGTTGATTTCATATTAATGTTTGGTAATTACGTTATTATGTTCGTTGTGGCCAAACTATACGTTCAATCGAAAAACTTTTCAACAAAAATTTGTTCCTTATTTTAAAAAAGAATGCCTGCAGCATCTAAATTTGATTTGTTACACAGTGTTCGAAAATAGAAAAAAAGAAGGTTTCGTTTAAGTAGCAGCACCATTCAGTATTGATACATTCAAAAAAAGTTATAGGACAATGTTGTTTGGGATACTAAAATTTGAGAATATGCAAAAAAAATTGCAGTGATATTCAAGTGTTTTTTTATTTTACGAGTCAAATGGCCCAAAAATTTTATATTATGATCATTGTAAGCAAACTATAAATTTAATCGAAAAATTTTTCAAACAAAACTCGTTCTCTATCTCAATGCAAGACCTGTAGCATCTACATTCCGTGTACTACAGGTATATAGAACGTTCAAAAATATAAATAAAAAATTTTCAGCAGTTTCTTTTAGTCCAATCGAAAAAAGTTATAGATTTTTTAAGAATGCCAGAAAGTTGAGTAGGTGTAGATATGAAGATACATCATAGTTTTGGAGAAAAATATATTTTCTTTTTTTAACTCAATTTGACCGCTACGTCTTAATGTCAATTTTTAAGCTTAACCGTCTCGTTTTTTTTTGCATAGTTCCATATTCTGGAATTCACTTTTCTGCTATAATTTTCTTCGATTGGACCCATACGACCCACGGTACAGACGATCTTGTATCAAAATAAGAAACAAGTTTTGTTTGAAAAACTTTTAGTTTAACCACAACGAGCACATGGTGTACTTTTTGCGCCGCCATGTATGATATAATAAAATCTCATGTTTTTTTCAAGAAGGTACATTACCTAACCCTTTCATATTTAATAAAAAACCAAAGTGATTTAGAAACTTCATAACGTATACTTCAAAACGCTCATCGCAGTTGAAGAAGAAATGTTTATCTACAGTCGAAAAGTGTACTTAAACATTAGTTTCCGCTTGAGCGTTCGGACCAGTCGCGCTGGAAAAGGGAACAGTCGGCAGCGGTGCTTTTTTGAGTTTTCTCGGAAGCTATTAATTCAATAGGGGTTGAATCAAGAACGAATTTAATGGTATTGGAATTTCCTACATTTTATCTCACTGAACCTATTCGCAAACTTTTTTAGATTTAGGGATAAACGCAAATAAACAAAAAAATTCCAAATTTCAATGTTCAACCATTTAACCACAAAAACGGACAACATCTGATGAGACTCATTTTTGATATTTTACTCACAGCAACCTACTGAAGAAGCTAGTATGGTTAGTTTACTGTTAAATATTTTGGAAAAAATCAGTTTCTCTTTGTCTATCTTGACTGGGCTATCTGGTATAAGTTTTTCTGTGGTTTTCTTGGAACCTTTAGGCTTAGGCAAATACTGGTACAGAAACCATCATCATCATAAGATCGTCAGTCCTGAGACTGGTTGGACATGCACCTCCATTGTTTCCTATGCTGTGCTAATCTTTGCATTTACCTAAAGTTAGAACAACCCATATCCTTAACCATTTGCGAACAGTAATCTAATCTAGGTCTACCTATATCCCTCCTAACTTCCGTTTCTGCCTCTAATATGTCTCTGACTAGACCTTCATGTCTGAGAAGGTGTCCTATTAGCCTAACTCGTTTATTTCTTATTGACTTCTATAGAGTCCTCTGTTCTTTTACTCTTTCTAATACCTCCTCATTTCTAACCTTCTCTATCCACGGTATCCTCATCATTTGCTTGTAACACCACATTTCGAATGTTTCTAACCTTTTCTTTTTCGCCGCGCCCACTGTCCATGTTTCGCATCCGTACAGAGCCGTGCTCCAAACATACACCTTTAACAAACTTTTTCGAATTTCCAAATTAACCGTTGGCGAACATAGAAGTGAAAAGCGACTCGACCCTCTGCTTTATATCCCTACTACTCCTTCCGTCCTGACTTATCTGACTTCTTAGATACCTGAAATCGGCCACTTCTTCTAATTTTTCGTCTCCTATCTTTATATTCGCTCTTTCCCTACTTTTCCTTCCCTTGCATACCAGTATTTGTTTTATTTTTATTTATTTTCATACAGTACTATTTTGTCAATACCGCTTCCATGATGCATTTATGAATAAATATTCCAAGAATAATCATTCACTTCTCTTCGTTTTCATTTCGTTCGTTTCATCTGTCTTACTCCAACTATCACCCTGTACATGCAATATAAATCACAGCTCCAGAAGCGATAAAGTTTGTTCCATTTGAAAATGTTAATCGCTCTTCCGTTGGCCGTGTTTAATTGCAATCCGCAGTTTTAATGGTGGTTTTCGAAAGGATCACCGTTAGAAACTAGTTTTAGTGTAAGTGCTTAAGTTTAATCAGTTGTTTAGAAGTAAAGAACTGAAATTTGAACTCAAAAATCTAATGACCATTCAAGAAAACACGAAATAGCTCTTGATGCACTTATGAATTAATAAGTCGTATAATTATAACAAACGTTGTTCGTTTTCATTGCTTGCTCTAGTCAATAATAGCAAAAAAAAAACAAATAAATAGTCTTAGTTTTTTAAAAGACGTACCTAACAAATATAACACTATAACGCAAAATCCCACATAAAACGAGTAAAAAATATTTATATCAAAATTTGATCGCTTCAATGAGGTTACGGCTTCTATGAATGATAGAATTATTGAAGTAACTTTTAAAAAATGGATGAGTAAACTTTTGTAAACCACTCGTTTAATTTCATTACGAACCACCACTGCCCCACATATTTTTTTTTTATATTTCATGAGATGAATAACCTGGATTCAGGTAAGTATTTAGATCTTATCAGTTATTTTAAGTACCACAAGCGTAAACTTGTCAAGGTTCCTATTTGAACTTTGAATAGAAAAAGCTTGGCATGAATTGAAAGTATTTCTGCGTCAATTGCGGCGCCAATTTTTTAATACATTCGACACTACATTTTATTTGGAATGATACCAAGTGCACCACAAAATCAAACTGAAACACAAAATTGTGAGTATTCTAGTATATTAGCAGACGAAAAATACAGGTGGGTTAATATTTTTCCTTTAATTAATAATTCAGGTAATCTAAAAATAAAAATTTTTACACGTTTATAATTATTATTATAATTTATGGTTACTTTGGTTAGTACTTTTTTGTTTTTGAAGTGAAACTTCTTTATCGACAGTAGGAAGGAAATTTACTAGGGTATAAAACCGAAGTGTGACGTCACGCGTCAAATGTCACACGTTACGTGTGACCCCTGAAGGATATGTCCAAAAGGAGTCAGTTTAACAGGTTTTAGAAAGCTTTGTTTGTGTTTGTTTTGATTTGTAATTCCTCTGCAGTTTTGTATGGTGCAAGCGTAAATTTTTTTAACAAAACTAAACCAATATGCTGCATTCGTTCGCTCAAAATAAAGTTGTATTTTCTGGTGT